TCAGGTCTATATCCTTCTTATATTGAGGGCTCCAGACCTGCACACAATACTCCAGGTGAGGTCTCACCAGAGCAGAGTAAAGTGGCAGAATCCCCTCTCTGGAGCTGCAGACCGGCAGACAGACTAGATACTGCCATGGTTGTGTTCCTCACTTCAGCCCAGCCATTCATTTGGGTCTCTCTCCTCTTCTCTAGAAATGCATGGTAAACTGATCATCCTCAAGTCTTCCAGCCCACTTCCAGATTTGATTGAAATTGATCAGTTCAAAAGCTGTTGCCGGTAGAAAAACAGATGCAACCGTGTAAGCCTTGATCCCTTTGAAAAAATCAGAGCCAGTTCTGCTCTGGAAGTGGAGGCACTGGTGGGATGTTGGTGAGCTGCAGAGCTCCTGGCAGAAGAGGCAAGGGATTATAAAATGATAAACTCCCCAGGGGAGGCCAACCCACCAGTGCCGAACCTCAGTTTCTCCTCTATGTCCTTATGCTGCCAAGTGCACAGACCCAGAGTCCTGACTGTGGCCACCACTGCGCATGACACCATCCTACACGCAGACGTGTGCTCTGAACCATTTTCATCCTCCCCTTGTGCCTGACCAAACTTGGTCAGCCGCCTGCCTACTTACCAGTATCCTGTGTCTTGCCCAGGAGACCCTGCACTTCGAAGCTGCTGCTGCTGCTCTTTGAGCCACGTGGTTTATCCTCTTACTAAAGATGGTGAGGTCTTCCTGCTACAGGAAGGCAGAGAAGCACCTGAGTTCTCACTCGAATTCTTAATCCTGGTCCTTCTTCCTTGGACTGTCCTTTCTCTGTGCCTCGACATAATGCAGCACCTGCAAAGCGCAGATCTCCAGCGTGGAAGAAGACATCACGCCCACCTCTTCCACCTTCAAGGCTTAAAGTCTGCTGTTGCCACTCCTCTAAAGTAACATCATCTTTTCTCATGTACTAGCCTACCAAAAGCTGAGATGTGGCGACTTCTCTCCTCCAGCTGAGAGCCAAAAAAAGCATCCTCCTGCTCAGATCCTTCATTACGGCAAAGCCAAGTAAATGAGCTGTCCTTGGGATCAGATGAAGGCCTGGAAAATGTACAAAAGATTAAAGGGAAACAAAACCCCTACAACTATTGACAGGAATAAATGCGTCTTAAATAAAAATTTTGAAAGCACAATTCAAACACATTCCAGTCATTCTCCCATCCCCTGGCAAAAGTTAACGAGATGAATTCTCTTACAGCCTCCCATTGATCCGTGAAGTGCAAAGAGAGAGGCAGATGAAAAATTGTGAGGGCAGGGCTAGATGCTGATTGCATTTACAGGAGTGCATTTCCACCATGACTCTTTGCAGACCCCATGGGCATTATTCCAGGAAGCCACGGTGGCAACTGCTGGGTTGTGCCATGTGGCCAAGGGTCTGCCTTGAATGACAGGAGCAAAAAGCGATGCTGAAAAAGTCCACCTCATGCACCAAACATCATGAAAATCAATCTTTGGGTACTGTGGGTTTGCTTCATCAGTAGAAAAGGAAGAGATAATTACATCTCTGATTTCTGGATAATAAAAGTTGGGGTTGGGGATTTTCATTAGAAAAAAAAAAAAAACCAAACCTCCACATTGCACAGTGTTTCCAGTGTGCAAATAACTCAGCTCAACAGCGGGAGAGTGAACAGACTCTGCAAACTCTCAAGCAGAAAAAGAGCATGGACTTGGGTCTCTCACAACTCACCGTAACCATTCCCTACTCACACAAAAACAAACACGAGGGTTCTTGAGGTGTGCAAGTCTTTTAAGATCTATTTAACCCAGCTTAATGCAGAAAAAAATCACAAGTTTGATTTAGACCGGGTCAGGGATAGCTATTTGCTTAAAAAGCAAATGCTCTGTTTACCCTGGGGGAATCGGTGAGTCTTTCCTTGCCCATTTAGTTTCATCCTTTCCCTGTTAAGGATTTCTGCTCACACAGGGAAATCTAGAGAGTGGAAACCACCCCACAGAGTGCCCCCTCCGTGCTGATCTGAAGGAGGTGGTCTACACATTCAGGCCAGGTGCAAGCGGGTGCAAATCCCATCAGTGACCATGAAGGAGCTTCAATGAGGAGAGAATCTGCCTCATTTTTCTGGGTTGGGCGTCAGATGAGACATGAAGCTGCTCTGTTCCTCCTGAAGATGGATTTGGAGCACAGAGCAGTGTCCCAGGACGTGGCAACTGGTTGGAATGAGACAGGGCAGAGGGACAACAGTCCCAGGTACCTCCATGGTACAGAAATTCCTGAAGAAAAAGAACAACTATTTGCATGTTATGGGCTTGAAGGAGTTTGCTATTGTTTGTCAGTTACTCGGCGGGGGGGGGGGGGGGTTTTTTTGGGGGGTTTGGGTATGGTTTGGTAACAAGGAAATGAAATACCAATAAAACCCCCCTGCCCCTTGCTGAGCACTTGGGAGACCTGCCCCGCTGGCTCCCCCCCCCAGCACCGGGATTTTTTTGGTGGGTTTTGGTTTGGTTTGTACATAATAGTACCCAGCACTGTTAATACCACGGCTCATTAGTGAGCGCTGTTATTTCCTAGGAGAAAAAAACCTGGAGAAACTTCCTCAGAAGAACCATACAGGGTCATTAGGAAAAGTCGATTTGGAAGAGCTGCAAATGAGCAATTTTATAGAAAGGAAGGGAGAGGGGAGAAGGCAGGAAAAAATGTGTCTTCTGCAGAGACAGTTTGCTTTAAGTCCCTGTTTGGTGTCAGAAACCCTGTTAACAGCGAAGCAGTGCTCTTCAGGAAAGAGCTGGTCCTAGAGCAGGTCCTTGAGCTCCTCAGCAGGAAGTGGGTGGCAGCACAGATGCCACCACAGCAAGACAGCAGAAGGCAAAACAAGCCAGGTTTGCCTCAGGCCATGGGCACCCCTCCTCTGCCCTGGGGCACAGGCTCTCGGACACCCAAGAGCTGATCTGTCACAGCCAAAGGCAACCTCCCAGGCAAGAAGAGAGCCCAGGGCATCACTAGCTTTGGATGAGGGCCTCTGGGGCCTGTCCCTACTCCACCAGGAACGACTGTGCTCGTTGTGGGGTCTGCACTTGCCTTTGGCTTCTGTGCAGAGGAAGGGGCTCTGCACAAGGACACCCCAATCTCCCCGGGACTCAGCTGCTGCTCAAGGTGCTCTGTGGGTGCCTGGACCAGGAAAGCTCAGGCTCTGGCACTCCTGAATTACCTTCTGGTGCCATCTAGTGCCACCACTGAAATAAGGTGGCCTCACATGGAATTCGGGTGGGAGGAGGGCTCCGTGAGTACAGAAGTCGCATCTCACCAACCTCATCACCGCTCACACCAAGCCCTGTCAAAGGGCTGCTAGCAGTGTCCCAGGGCATTCATTTTAAGCAAAGAAAGAATCTACCCTCTAGAAAGATCCCCTTAAATCCCTGAGCAGACCCTCACACCAGGCCTCTTTTCAACTTAAAAGGCTGTGAGCTCACCAGGAAGCGAAGAGAGCAGGGATGGAGGTCCTGCAGGAAGCCTGAACTCCTTCCTTCTAGTGCATCATGTGGCAGAGTGACAAACAGGCTCTTGTAGCACACAGGAGATGTGTTGGGATCCACTGTCGAGGGTCCCAACCACCCCCTCTCTTGCATGTTGCAGGAGGACACAACTACAGGCTTCCAAAGACTCTCAGAGAGGTAGAAGTATAGAGGACAGCTCTTGAGGAGAAAGGGAGGACTGAAGATACTCAATTCAGCCACCTGGGCCACTGTTGAGACTCCAAAAATATAAAAAAAAGCCGGGGGGTGGGGGGGGAACAGACAACAATATAGACCCTCTCATTCTCTCTCAACGTTTTCCACGGGCTTTGGGGTGATTCAGAAGCTCTATGAAAGTAGGACTGACAATGACTCACCACGCTTGCCCCATTCCTTCTTGGTGGGACGTCTCAATAGCAGGTTTACCTAATCCCTTCCTACAAGGAAACACTAAGATTGTTTTCCTCCAGCTTCTTCCACACCACCTACACTGGGCCTACATTGGGACTTTCTTCCTTTGCTCAGAAAGGAGCACGGTTCATCTCCAGGGCAAGCAAGAGGCAACCACCATCTTCCTGCTCACCTGAAACAAATGCACACACAGAGTCCACCACGCTCTGCCCTTTGGTGAGACATCAGTTCACCTCCCCAGTCTCCTGAATCTGGCAGCCGGTGATGTCAGGTGCATCACAAGGTTTGGCAACAAAATCCTTTCCCCACACTTGTAACCTCCTCAGCATGGACCAACACTACCTGGAGGTGACCCCTCTGGAATCCAACCCCAGAGCTGAAAAGCTCCGCGTGCCACAGAGAGCCAAACTATCCCTCTCCTCATGTTTCTTTCTCTTGCTCTCTGGTGAGCACCCAGAGAAAAACTGAACCTAACACAGCCCTTTCCCACTGTCAAAACACATTTTGTAAATGTGGGACACAGTGTTCTCCTCTGTCACCAAAACCAAAATCCTCTTCCTACTGGCTCTGCTCCGCACAGCACCCTCAGGTAGGTACTCCTCAAACTTCCTTGTCCCTCTTGCCAAAACCCCACATCTCCACGTCAGGAGAAGCAAGACACTGGGCTCATCTTCTCTGCCAGGCTTCTCCCCACGTAGACAGCCACACGTAAGTCAAGAGCTATGTCTCCAGGGCTCACTGCCCAGTTCTTGGGGAATGCATTTCCCCACGGATATTAAAGCATATGACTGTTACTCTCCTCACCCCCACGCCACACCCCAGCGTTTCACCACCCATATCTGCCCATGCTTCTGCACTGCCCCGAGGATCACCAAGCAAAAGTCCCCATCTGATGCAGGACTGGTGCTGCTATCACCAAGCAAGAGCTTTGCGGTGGTGCTTTGAGATGTGTGGTCACCAGCAGGAGACAAAGTCTGCATCAGAGCTGTGATGATTCAGGAGGGTTTAGGGTGATTTTTTTTTTTTTTTTTTCATTCTTCCAGCCAATAAGAGCAGCTGAAGAGGAACATCTTCCCCAGCAGGAAGCAGGGCAGTCACTCCGCTCGCTGGCGGGCTCCTCTTCTGAAGTGGTAGAGATGGCAGTGAAGTTCACCCGCACCTTCGCCGCACTCTGCTGTTTAACCCTCTGGGGCTTCACTGGGACTTCAGATGGTAAGAGCGGGATATCATTCCTGGTTTCCTTCTGCTTTAGGTCCTGTGAGTGCTGCTTTCTTACCGCACGGGTAAATGACAGCCCTTCTCCAACTGCTGCCCCTGCCGGCTCAGCTCCGCAGGGTTCAGGCTGCAGCCACAAATCCAACTGCTTAAAAGACCCCTGTTCTCCAGGGACATCGTCAAAGGATTTCAAAGCCAGCTTTCGCTTTTAACTTATTTGTCAGCGTTTAAACTCTGCGTGACCTCGATTATTAAATCTAAAGACTGTGGGTAACAATTTGACTGCTAAGTACAGATGGGCACTATGAGTGCCGATTAGCTGCCTTTAATGAAACATTACTCGGTATCGTTTCTTTCTTTGCTGAGCAAGGAAACTGTCTTGATTGCAGCTGGCCTTAAATCTTTAGAATGGGAGCTGCAGACAGGAGGGGGGTTTTTATCTCCCTCTCTGAAGGTTTTAGCTCTACTTGAGCTTTACTTTGGCTCCCACGCACAGAAAGTACTAACGTGCCCAGGGATGGTGTTCGGTGAGCCAGTAGCTTTTTGTTTCGGCTGCGGTTTCCTTCGGGGGTTGCAGAGGCAAGCAGGAACTCTGCTGCGTCTTAAATGTACAGATAAAGCTCAGCCTTGCTTCTAGTAATGGAAAGGAGGTTTTGAAAGCTCCCCCCCCCTCCGAGAAAAGAAACAACAAACAAACCAACAGCCTCTTGCCATCTGCCTGTTTGCTTCACTGCAAGCTGGGAGAGAGCATCCACTGCAGGGTGGGGATGGGGCCCCCCAAATTATGCCTCGATGAGGAAAGCTACAAGAAAGGGCCTCTTAACACAGCAATCAACTCATCTCTGCAAGAACAACTCTCTCTTGCTTCATAACGGCCAGTGGCCTATTCATTTGGAGCAAGAAAACAGTTCTACCCTACTACAGCCTTAATAGAAGGAAGAGGAGGGCCACGCTTTCCCCTCTCTCTTCACATTTCCAAACCCAGAAGCAAGGATGGGGTCTGAAATACAGATGCTCTGGCCCTAAGCTCCCTTGCTGCTCCCCGTAGAGCAGCCAGACCTGTTTTCCCAGGTCGTGAGATCACATTCCCTTGACCTGTGAGTCCTGTAGGTGCCTGAGCAGGTCATGCAGTGCCTCTGCTCCCACCCAGCCCTGGAGAACAAGTGTTTGACCGATACCAGTGTACCTGCTGGATCTACCAGGCACTGGAGTCAGGAACAAGGGCACTTTAGACTCTGCCTCTTGCTTTGAGGAACACATTTCATAGTTTTCTTCCCATACGCCTAGTGTGACTCCAGCCAGCCCCACTCACCCTGCCACCCCATGCCTAAAAAAACAAAAAGAGGCCACAGTGACTCAAGAGGTGTTGAGGGCTACTAAGCCACAGAGTCACTTTGTGCTAAGACTTCATGAAAACACCTGTGGCTATCTCTTTCTACTACAAAGGACGATATCTGCTAACAACATCCCCCACCACTGCCACATCTGACATTTCAACAGGTATCAGAGCATAGATTCAGGCAAGGTCCTGGAGAGCAGCCAGAAGAGCCCAAGCCAGTGACCAGCTCTTAGGGGAGCTCAGGAAAAAGCTCCTCTCCGTAAGCTATCAAGTTGGTACTGATGGCACAGGAAAAAGCATGGCATCCTTGAGGAAGAGGGTGGCTGGCCTTATGGGCATGGCCCAAAACAAGGTCCTGCTCTGCCCCAAGCTTCCTTTCTGACTTCACGACCCTCACGAATCCACCTGAGGCTTGCACGACCTTAACCCCCAGGCAGAGCCCCTGATGATGAAAAAAGGACAAGCAGATGCTTTGGGAAGTCCTACCTATGAGCTGAGCACTGGAGAAGATGCATTGTGCCTGAGAAATACCCTCAGTCCTAGGGCTGCGTGGTCATGGGCTTCTGTGACTTTTGAAATCCCATCCTTGCTGCAGGGAGGAAATATCATCCCACAGAGAATAGCCTCAGGATCTGTAAGTGGATTCTGGGCTGTAAGGTGAAAAAAAAAAGACAGGTTGCCCAGAACTGGCTGCACACCCTGTCCCAACATAGGTCAGAGACATGGGAGAGGAAAGCTTGTCACCTACACACCAGACACAAAGCCACCTGCAGAACATCCACTCCTCTCAGACACATGGCCTGGGTGTCTCAGCTCCGACCTGCAAGAAAACATGGCGGGGGGTCATTAAGGAACCTGGGGTATCAGCCAGGAAGAGATGTGAATTTGGACATCCTTGGGTTGAGGAAGGACGTGGAACTGAGTCTCTGCTTCGCAGGTCAACCCTGTAATCCTAGAGCAGCATTACAAAGGGGGGCAGCCAATACCACCCGTGGGGGAGGATGTGACAGTGTAACTAGGACATACGTCAGCAAGCTCAAAGTTGAATTTTTGCAGCCTCCTGTGCCAACGATGGCATGTAATGCTGGGGTTTCAGTTGTTTCGTTGCTGTTGTTTGGTTTTTTTTTTTTTAAACTCACTCTAGGTCACCAGGTTGCCCCTCTCTCTTCTACTCGGGTTTCTCGGTACACACTGGCTTAAATAAACAGTCTGTGCTGCCTGCTTGGCTGTAAGTGAGAGATCTAGCTGTGAAAAAAAAAAAAAAAAAAAAAAATAAAAAGCTTGATTTTCACAGCAAATTTAGCACAAGCTCTGTGTGCACATTTGCACAGGCAGGCTCACTTACCTACACACACAGTGTAAACACCAAGAGCCACCTCCTGCACTGGCAGGTCTTGGCATCAGCCATGGCAGCAGGGCAACCTGAGCAGGTTGAGGATTTCTTCCTCTTGTTTGCATTTCAGAAGTGGAAAAGTGGAGGGGAAGGCAAACGTAAAGGGGGAGGAAATAACGACATCAACTGTAAGCTTCTAGCTTCTTTTAAATTATTGAGCAAACAAGCAGGGCATGAGGAAATGAGCCACACAACCAAATAAGAATATATAGTAACAAGGGCTGTGTGGAAAGAACTGCTCCAACTTGAAAGCTCATGGGTCCTGCCCTCCCCCTCAATCTCCGTTTCACTGAATTTCACTGAATTTCTAGAGTTGGAAGGGACCATAGAGATCATCTAGTCCAACTCCCCTGCTGAAGCAGGATTGCCTAGAGCTAGAGCACGTTACTCAGGACTGCATCCAGGCGGGTTTTGAAAATCTCCTACACACTTTGCTCCTCCACTTCACGGCCCTTGGCATTTGGGTCAGGGCTACAGCACTTCAGCAACCTGTTTTCCAGGGCAGTGGGGAGCTAGTCCAAGTTCTGCCTCAGGCCCTTCTCCTGCCCATCTTGGAGAAGAGGGACACCCTCTCCTCTGTCAGCGTGTAGAGGGAGAAGATCCTCCTCCCCCGACCTTTATCACCACCTAAATCCCCCTAAAATAAAAACCTCAAGATGCCATCAAAGGATTAAAAAGGGGCGGGAAAGACTGATGTCTGCAAGTGAAACTTGTCACGCCAACTAAGAGTGGCAGGGCTCTGCCAGCCAGTCTTTGGCAAGTCATCAAAATTTTACTGTGCCCTGATCTCCATGACCCAGCTTTATAACTAGATTCAAAAGTTGAGCCTTCTACGAGCCGGGAGTTGTACCAGAGACGTTCTAAATAATAGTCACAATACCCCGGCTGCTTCTAAGTCACTTTGAGCTCCGCTACTACTTCCAGCACCATCTTTTTCTGCTCCTTCATTCCCCAGGATTCTTCTCACCCCTCCAAACACATAAAGGAAAATTACTTTGTGATGGATGCGAGCAGAGTCCTTCCGAAGCACGAGTACGTAGAATCACAGAATGGTTAGAGTTGGAAGGGACCTTAAAGATCATCAAGTTCCAACCCCCCTGCCATGGGCAGGGACACCTCCCACTAGAGCAGGACAAGTAAGAAGGTTTAGTATTTTTTCAGAGGGCTGCAGCTCCCCCCAGTTCAGGCATCTGATGCGTTGTGCACTCATGTTTTGTGTTGTTTCAGCTATGTATGTACCACCACCTCATTCGACCACGAAACCTGGCTCCCCTGTCCCAATGGACACCGACAACCCTGGTGTTCGCAAGGCAGCTCGCTTTGGGGTTTACAGATACAACAACAGTTCCAATGACCTCTTTCTGTTTAAGGAATCACAAATAAGCAAAGCCATGGTACAGGTAAGAAAAGCCCAGACTTCTGGTGGTCCTCCAAACCATTCACCAGTTGACCCTCCCACAGAGCACCCAGGACAGGGGAGCCCTGATTCTCCTTTAGGATAAACAGCACACATGTCCCTCTGTCCTATTAAACTGCTCCACAGGAGGGCTTCCCCCCCACCAGCCCCAGCCCTAATAATTCAACATCAAACACTTCTACCTACACCACCACACCCAATTCACAGGTGTAGCATTTGATCCCTAGCCAAAATTTTGGTGGCACCCCCCCCTTTCCCCTGCCCTTACTTCAAAGGAGGAAACTGCTTTCTCTAGATTGTCAGAGGAAGTCCTACCTCTGAGCTGAGCACTGGAGAAGATGCATTGCCTGAGAAATACCCTCAGTCCTAGGGCTGCGTGGTCATGGGCTTCTGTGACTTTTGAAATCCCATCCTTGCTGCAGGGAGGAAATATCATCCCACAGAGAATAGCCTCAGGATCTGTAAGTGGATTCTGGGCTGTAAGGTGAAAAAAAAAAGTCAGGTTGCCCAGAACTGGCTGCACACCCTGTCCCAACATAGGTCAGAGACATGGGAGAGGAAAGCTTGTCACCTACACACCAGACACAAACTGCTTTCTCTAGATTGTCAGAGGGCTGAAATACATGCTCCACGTGGAAATCGGACGCACTACGTGTGAGAAGAGGGAGCACTCCAACCTGGACAGCTGTCACTTCCAGAAGAAAAAAAACCTCCAACAGGTACGTGTCCAATTCCTTTGGGGTAGGCAGTCAACTGCAGCTGATTCTTGGCCATCTCCAGCTGCGTAGTCACCTTCAGAGCAGGTCTGGTGTGTCCCCACAGACACAGGACCCTCTGTGCAGACCCAGCTGGGGTGAGGCAGGGTAGGATCTCTCCTGCATCCAGGAGCAGCTCCCGTCTGCGAGGAGCTGAACCAGACACAACCATCTAACCCGTGCTCCTGGAGAAACCAGTGAAATTGTGCAGAAACTAAATATGAGCTAAATAAGAGAGATTTCCTGGGTGGGGGAAATCCTTACAGGGGCTTTCCCACTAAGATAGGATTACTGAGCAAACAGTGCTCTTCCCAGGATAAAGGGGGGGAGACGAGCTGTTCTCTCCTGCTCCATCACGAGCCACAATGCTGAGAACAACCAGCAGCCACCGGAACTTCGTCACCAATTCCCCCTTTATTTGCAGATACTGAAATGCTATTTTGAGGTCTGGATTACACCTTGGTTACATAAAGTCCACGTCCCCATTGCTCTTTGTCACTGACTCACCTTTCCCACGAGTGCCTGACTTGCAGGAGATCTACCACCATGATTTATTTTTTTTTTTCCTTGCCTGGATTGTTGAGGCCAAAACTGAAGCGAGGATCGGCTGAACAGAATCGCCACAGAACTTTTCTCTCAAAGCACATGGTTGTTTTCCTCTCTTGGAAAGATGCTCAAAATCTGAGTGACAAAGAAAAGACCTGCCTTGACTGCATTTATTGTTATCCAGCTGTTTCTCTTTTTCCAAAACTAAACTGCAGATGAGATCGTGTTGTCATTCATTCAGTAGACAGCCATCCATGCTCTGGCTGAACTTCCAAGCAGTGTGAACACACCCAGGAAGCTCTGTTGGACAGAATACTGTGATGAATCTTCACACAGCTATTTATGTAAACAAGTCTAAACCACAGCACATGTGGCTACAGCACTGAGGAAAGCTTTACAACAATGGGATATTTCACCTGGGGATACACACACACACACACACAAAGTCTTAAGAGTCCCCCAATGCTAGAGAAAATGCTAGATGTATGTCAGGAATGCATGAGGTAGAGTTTTCTTTCTTCAAGACCAGAGTATGGATAAGACTGTCTTGAAACACATCCACAGCCCAGAAATTAAACAGTCTAACTAGTGCTTTTACTTTAATCAAAAGCTAATTACTTTAATCAAGAGCTAATCCTGTGCAACCTGCTCTAGGTAGACCCACTCTGCTGGGGGGGGGTGGACTTGATGATTTCCAGAGGTCTCTTCCCAACCCCATATGATTCTATGATTCTAATCTATACTATGAAAGGGCATGATTGCAAAGGTGGCCCAGCAGCACTTCAAATTCAACATCCACTGCCAGAGAGACAGCTGTGCTGCATCTTATCTTTAGGGGCAGCAGTCTCTTAGCTGGAAAAAAAAAAGTGCTCAAAAGAAACCTCTAGAAGGGCCATGGACTGACGTACATTCATCCATCACACAAGCCACTGCCCACAGTTTGATGCCAAAGACAAGGAAAAAGAAAGCCAACTATGGTGGTTCGAGCTGTCCACAACTAAGTTTCTAAGAGGGCAAGAGGAGCCAGCAGGAGCTGCTCTCTGAATCTCAAAAGGGGTTAGCAATGGTTCTCCATCCCTCTTCCACCCACTTCAGCTGGGCACTTCACGCAGTGCCAAGGGCTTCCAACCAGGCTGCCAGCTCCAGGCAGCCTGGGCCCAGAACAGGCCAGACAGATCCCCATTTCTTCCTTCAGCCAGCAGGACAGCCTGGTGCTCAGAAACCGGCGTCATCAGCCTTTCCGTGTGCCACAGCGGGGGCGAGAAGGCAGCACACAACCTGAATCTCAAAAGGGGTTAGCAATGGTCTCCATCCCTCTTCCACTTCAGCTGGGCGCTTCACGCAGTGCCAAGGGCTTCCAACCAGGCTGCCAGCTCCAGGCAGCCTGGGCCCAGAACAGGCCAGACAGATCCCCATTTCTTCCTTCAGCCAGCAGGACAGCCTGGTGCTCAGAAACCGGCGTCATCAGCCTTTCCGTGTGCCACAGCGGGGGCGAGAAGGCAGCACACAACCAGCTTAGGCCTGTGCAGAGACTCGCACACGCCACAGAACACTCTCCCATGTGTTCAAGCCCCTTAGGGCTGCATCTCGGCCTCCTTGCCGAGGCAGCTCCCCATTTGTCAAAGAAACAAAAAGTTAAAAAGCCAGGTGAGCCTGGCATCACGCAGATTGACAAACCCAACATGCTCTTGCTGCTCTCTTAAGGAAAACGCGGCAGGATCGTTCAGGACCTCTCTATCCCAACAGGCTCGTTTGGGAGCACCACGTTTTAGACAAAACCATTGCCAACATTTCCTGCAACACAGAAAAGCTCACTGCAAAGAACACAGTGGGAAAGGAGACAAGCACATTTTGGGAAAGAGAGATTAGCCTTATGTTTACAGCTGCAGCAAGAGTGTTTACTATAGCATCACAATAGGAAAGGCAGCCTGGAATAGCAGCATCCATCATCCCCCCAGGTAACAAAGAGTTACAAGCACCAAAGAAAGGAGCAGAGCTAAAGTCAACTCAGCTCTTTTGTACCACTCCAGAAGCCTTCCTTCAGGAAGGATTTGGGCAATTAAAGACTCTTGCATCAGGAGAAGACTGCTAGCACTAACCTAAAGAACCACAGCCAAGTGCTGTTTAATCACAATGACATGCAGCAGTCAAAAAGCCAGTGTCTCTGCCCTCTGCATCCTTGCTAGAATTTACAAGGTTAATATTCACCAAGTCACTCCAGGAAATCCATATCCTTGCAGAGGCTCTGACATCTATTCCAAGCTACCAAGGCAGTTAAATAAATATTTCTAGGAAAGATTTAGGGCATAAGGAGAGAGGGGAAGGTTGTTCCTACCAGCCGCAAACGCTGGAGAAAGAGGAACAATCCCAGCAGTGACATTAAGAGCTTCTGGGTCACCCAAAGCTGGTGCTTCAGAGGTACAGGTTCATCCAGGTGTGCTACAAACAAGCTGAAGGAGCAGCTTTCTTCAGCTTCAAATCTCTCTCCAGTTTGCTGGGAGCACCGGGCTCGGTGCATGACATTATCTTCTTGGTTTGTCTGCTTATGAGGACACTTAGCCTCATCTGAACAGAAGTTCCCTCTCAACTCTGCCGGAGGGACTGGCTGCCCACTGAGAAGACCTCCACGCGCACAGCGCTTCTCAACCCAAGCCAGACTGCATTTCACCAGAGCTTCACAGGGCCCCACGATCCTCCGTCGGAGCCCGGCGTTCGCTCAAAAGCTTTGCTATGCAAATATTTCCTCTCACACTCCTACTTTTTTAAATTGCACAGGAAACAAACCGCCTGCCACCAAAATATAAAGCGTTGCTGACTGACGGACTTCCCACTTGGCATTCTCCTCACGTCAGCAGCTCCACGATAAGGACCTGGAAGGCCTTTCTATGCCAGTTGTACCTGATTTCACAACCTGACTGAATTTCGGGACCCACTGACAGCTGGCAGAGCCAGGCACGCAGCTGCACAGAACCAAGACAAGGTTGAACTGGCAGCAGCAAGATAAGGAGACTTCTGCTGGCTGGGAGGAAAAAAAACTTGTATACTGCCAAGTACAGTCACTTACTGTTAAAATTTTCAGACCTCACCTCAAACAGAGCAGCAAAATGAGCTGCCCCACGTGGTAATTCTTTTACAGCAGTTTTCTAGGCAAGCTAGCTGAGAAGGTCCAAGTGTCAGCATCACCACATCTCTGTTGTGAACGCTGAGCAGACAGACCCAGAAGCTTAGAAGGTCATTATATCATCTGCAAAGGTTACTGCCACGAAGCTGATTCAGATTTAAAGCAATCAGATTGACACCTTGCAATCCCTTTCATCAGCTGTTTACGGTGAGATACCAACCCTTGTGTAGAAGTGGAAGGGGCACACATGAGATACCTTCCAGCAGCTCTACTGTAGCAGAAGTTTGCTCCAGAAAAGGGACATGGCACTTAGCTGGGGAACAGCATTTTAAATAGCTTCAGCAAAACATTCTTGATACTTGTACTGTGCAGAAACATCTGTTCCACCAAGGTAAAACAAAACATACCTTTGAAATGCACAGCTGTGATGTACTCCAGCTCAGTTCCTTTTCCTTCGGCTGTTTTACTGCAGCGCTTTACACTAAAGCAAAGATTTCCCCAAGCCCTTCAGGAGAGCAGGCACTGTTCTCCAATTCCACATCCCAAAAGAAGCTTGGGAAAGACACAGGAAGCACGCTCAGGCTCTGCTGGGAGTTGCACAGAGGGTTTCCTCCCTTCTCAGGAAGCCACAACCCCTTTCTCCTGCCAACAAAAAACAATCTTGCCCTGACAAGACCTTTGGATACTGCTGTAAACGCTCCTGCTTCTTCCAGCGTGGGTGATGTGTCCACACAGGAGAAGAGCCAGCCTCAGAGCTGCAAAGGTGCCATGTTCCTACACTGATACCATCAAGCAAGACAACAGAGCTGTTTTTTTCTTTTTTTTTTTTCCAAGCCTGACTTGTTCCAGCGTTTCCCATTGCTCAAGGTAGATGTGTCACCATCCATCTGAAACTGTAACGTGCCATTGACTCATGCTTCTGTGGAAGTGGAACGAGACCATAAAAGCAGCCTTCCCAGGAGCACAAAGAAGAATTTCTGCCAGCTTGTTCGTTCCACAGGCATTTTAATTCTGCTGTATTACCCTGGGAGGACTGCATTTGAGGAAGCACAAGGGATTAAAAGCACCTAAGCTTCTTTGAAAATGCTGTTCTTAACCATCCCTTATGCTTAGTAATGGAAGTGCTGTGTGTCAGTCAACCTGTTTAATCCGGGTTCTGCAGCAGACCACTCCACTTCTGCATACAAAGGGTGGACTAGCAAGATCCAGCAGAGCACCAGGAATGGGAGCCAACAGTATCTGGCCTCAGGAAAGGCATTCCTTCCAGGATCTCCAGACTTTGGGTCTCCTTGGACAGGAGCTATGCAGACCCTCCACTCAAATACCTGCTCATAAGATCCTTAAACTGCACAATGACACCGCTACCGGGTACTGTGGTTCCACCTTGGTCCCCCACCAATGTTGCAGTCATCATGACAATAACTGGCCTCCTTTCAATTTTAGTGGCCACGGGGGCATCACCAGTCTTGAGCCAGACATCTCTCTCACCAGGAAAAAAATCAAGCATACTGACTTTCTCTCAGACCTCGATGCCTCACATGCCACCATCCCACTCTGCTTCAGGTTGAGCTCTAACTTGCAGAGCCAAGTACAGCGCTGAAAAACCCCGCAGGCAAATTTCAGGTCATAATCAAAACACAGGAGAAAGCCAGATCACCTCACTCTGAGGAAAAGACTGACCCATATTTACATCCGTAACATTTCATTTAAGCCAGAGCTTTAAGGTTCTTGTAAAAAAATGAAATACCACTGGCCTGGTTAAGCAGCCTGTCACCATACAAAGTTTGTTGCTTAGAATGATATTAAGTTGTGCCACATACCACAGCTCACAGTTGGTGCTTTACAGACTCCAGTGGTCTTTATTTTTTTATTATTTTTTTTTTTAAGGCAAGTGCTGACTGACTGGACCTGTACTCGGGTGAACTCTATTTGTAGAGGCTGGACAGAAAGGCTTTATTCATTCTGAGAAATTAAATTGAGAACTGCACACTCTGTCCAAAGGCTTAACCTTTAGACAAACTCATTTAGACTGACAGTTACTCAGCTACTTTCCAACAAAGCACAGACAGGAACAATAAAAAAATTTCTATTGCCCAGGGCGGCCACAATGACAGACAGGACAAGACACCAGAAACTAGAAACTTTTACAGGCACAAATTTCTTCTTGCCTCCGAACCCTATACTCCCAGAATTCACCTCCTGCTCTCAGTGCAGAGCCTGCCTCTTGGCTGCATTGGGAATAACTGGGCCAAGATCAACGGCATGAGTTTCAACAAGGGCAAGTGCCAGGTCCTGCACTTGGGCCACAACAACCCCCTGCAGCGCTACAGGCTGGGGGAAGTGTGGCTGGAGCTGCCTGGAGGAAAGAGACCTGGGGGTTCTAGTTGCCAAACGGCTGAATATGAGCCGGCCGTGTGCCCAGGGGGGCAAGAAAGCCAATGGCATCCTGGCTTGTATCAAAAATAGTGTGACCAGCAGAAGTAGGGAGGTGATTGTGCCCCTGGACTCAGCACTGGTGAGGCCACACCTGGAATATTGTGTCCAGTTTTGGGGCACCTCAATACAAGAGAGATCTCGAGGTGCTGGAGCGGGTGCAGAGGAGGGCAACGAAACTAGTGAAGGGCCTGGAAGACAAATCATACGAAGAGCGGCTGAAGGAGCTGGGGCTGTTCAGCATGAGGAAGAGGAGGCTGAGGGGAAACCTCATCACTCTCTACAAATACTTGAAAGGACACTGTAGAGAGGTTGGGGCTGGTCTCTTCTCACAGGTAATTAACAATAGAACGAGAGGGAACGGCTTCAAGCTCCAACAGGGGAGGTTTAGACTGAACATTAGGAAGGAATTCTTCACAGAGAGAGTGGTCGGGCATTGGAACAGGCTGCCCAGGGAGGGGGTGGAGTCACCATCCCTGGATGTGTTTAAGGGACGTTTAGATGCAGTGCTGAGGTATATGGTGTAGGGGAGGACTTTGTAGAGTAGGGGAGATGGTTGGACTCGATGATCCCAAGGGTCTCTTCCAACCTCAATGATTCTATGATTATATGATTCTGTAACTTCAGGCAGACACATCTAGCAGCCCACTCTGCACAGCTGGAGAGGTCCAGCCAGCAAAGAACCCACACCACCAGCCAGAATGGAGAAGTAGGGACTTGATCTCCCTCGAGACACCAGGGCCAACAAAGAACCCAAGTGCCCAAGGCCTCAGCTCAGCTTCCTCCATGCTACAGCATCAGCCTTCACCACCGACTTGCTGCATTTTATAGGCAAATTGCTCCCCGCAGGAAGACTCTTGTGCAGACAGCTCCAATATCTTCATGGTGTCCAGCCTCCTTTCCTGACTGTGGCATTTGGCAGAACAACCCTCCCTGCTACCACAGAATTAAGAGAAGATTTCGGAAGGCAAGAGTCCCAGTGAATTAAGGCATTAGCTATCTTCAGGTTAGGGGAAGCTAGGTCTGGGCTTCAGTTCTGCCACAATTAGCCTTCTTTCTAGTCTTCTTGCACCTGCTCCTGAGATATTTATCCCTGGCCACCGTCTGATAGTTTGGACTAGACTGCTTAAAATTCATACCAGACAAAGCCACACTCTATTAGATACCTCTCATATTTGGCATGCCCTTTTCCCCTTCCCCAAGAAAAGCAAGTTATTCACGTGACCTCTAGGTCTGCTATACTTACTACAGAGAAGAACTTCATGGTGGGATCACAGGATCATCAGTGTACTAAGTTGGTCTCCAGCAGCGGCCAGGAAAGAGTGAGGTGGTGGAAAAAGGATCAGAACCAAAAAACTCTCAAAGAGACAACTCTTCATACATCTTACCCTGCTTAAGCATCAGCAGCGCCACAACTTTCTTTCCCACTTCATAACTACAAGGACAGTGTCTTAAAAGGGGACTAGTCACACAAAAGCCATCCCATCTATCATGCCAAAACAGCCAAGGTCTACCTAACTACAAAAGACAGCACAAGTTATTCAGTTTAGATACTTTGGCAAATGAATCACTAGATATAACTACGCAACAACAAGCAAAGCTGCGCTTCCTCCAAAGCTACCAAAGCTCCAGCATGATGCAAGCCCCACAAGAAACTTGCTTTTACAACCCCAATTTAAGAATCCCATTCAGTTCAACTCTCATATCCTACCTGAACGGGCCAAGTAGCTGCAAAGGCTGGCAGTGCAGTGCTAACCAGCTGCTGTTTAACCAGCCTGTCCTGTGCTGGGTTTCCTCAGAAAAAGATGATGCAAGTATCATCTCAGCCCTTCAGAGTTCCAATCACAACAAGTCTGTCCCTCACCAGGCAGATGACACCTCTCCAGGCTTTCAGCCTTACCACAGTATCACTCCATCTCTACCTACAAACTAGTAAAGGCTCATTAACTTCTACACAGGGCTCAGGTGGACCAGAAGTCAGAGCCTGCAGCAACTCATCAGCTGGGCTTCTTTTTGTCTTTTACCCAGCTCCCTCCCAAATCCAGCAACCACCAGGTCAAGCAAAAAGAACTTGCAGCCCCTGGAACAAGTCAGCCTGATCCAGCAGCCGCAGGATGCTACAGCCTGGTAGTAACATAGAACAAGGTGACAGAAGCACTGCCAGAAAAAGTATCACTTTCATTTGCATATCCCTCCATTAACAAAGACTCACACAGAAAGCCAGTGAAAGCAGATAACATTTTAACATTATCTTTTCCTCCGTTGCTTTGCACCGTGTATCAAGCAAATCTTGATTATTTCCTTTTCAAAGGCGAGGAAGTTAAGCAATAGTCTAACTTTAATGTTTGACTATCACCCAGTGGCAGAAAAAGAGAGAGCAGCAAATTCTTCAATCTCAAAGCATGAATCAATCCACTAAATCACACAGCTGCTGAAGTAACCCCTTTATTTCTTCAAGACGTAAACCCTCTTATTTAAAATGTAACAGCAGAGTCTTTCCTTTGTAGTAGTTGACAGAAAAGCATTCTCTAGATTTAAGAAGCAGAGTATCTGTTAATAGAGGAAGTAAACCATTTCCTCTGGAGATGCCAGAAAAGATCCACGAGCTCCTACCGCATATTCCAAGATTTTCCACCAAAGCCTTCTTCATCCACTATGACTATATTTTACAGGGGCCTTTTCAGTCCCTTCATCCACCTTCAGACACCAACCTTACCCAAAATCTTTCCCAGTTCTCCACAGAAAGCATACTGAAGAGGATTCCTGCAGCTCCCCCTCCTCTCTCCCATGTCTCTCAGAAATAGCCACCTAGGTAACCAACAGGAGACTTGCAGGACCTAGTAAACACGGAATAAATACTACAAGTTACTCTTTTTAAACCCACTGGAACCAGCCTTTAATAAGATAGAAAAGGCAACTTTCATTCATCATCTGACTACAACGCTATAAAGAAACACAGGAGTCCACAGATAATGGATCAAATTTGATTCTGCATGTTGATTAACAGTTAATTGCAGTGTCTGATGTTGATTACACAGGCTGGAACTGAAGAAACCCAAATGGTATAACTAGATTTTTAGGCATGTTCTGGATATTGCTGCCTCTACCACAGCATCATGGTATGACATTAGAACATGCACTGTAAGCACTCCTAAACAGGAGGTTCTAAAACCAAAATAAACACATGCAAGACATCCTCTTCAATCCAAATCATACACAATTAAATTCCATACATCACAAACCCTTCTAGCATAAGAAGATATCCAGTTGCATTAAAGGTGACACGTGATGTCTGTTTAAGATGACTCCAAACAGGGCTGGAGATGGAAATGCAATGGATTTTCTTTAAGGAGCACATAACCGTATGAAAATGCCCCACCATACTCCTCAGATATTAATAATTACACAGGGCAACTCCAAAGCAAGACCAGTCAAACCAAGATCAAGGAATAGGACGGGCACAGCAAGCTGTACATTTTTCCTGTGGCAATGGGACAATGCTACTGCACGTTAAGAGACTGTCTTTCATTTTTTGTCCTTGGTCACACACGTTTCCTTTGTACCTCCGGAGTATCGTAGGACAGTGGCACTTTATCACAGATGGACAGTTAAACATGCTGAAGATTAAGTCTGCAAATAAATGGAGACCGGAAGGAGCCCAGGTAAAGATATCCATTGTGCTCGTGTGCCTCGCTAACATAAGCTACCATCACTCCATTGGGATCATGAAAGCTTCTTCTGTAGGATCCCGTCTCGCTAAGTTCAACCACAAGGCTATACTTGGGCACAAACTTCGTCACGGTTTCCTGACTCAGCAGCTAAAAGAAAAAGAGAAAAGAAAAGATTTTTTGTCCTTGGTCACACACGTTTCCTTTGTACCTCCGGAGTATCGTACTTTTTGTCCTTGGTCACACACCGCTTCAAGCACGTTTCCTTTGTACCTCCGGAGTATCGTAGGACAGTGGCACTTTATCACAGATGGACAGTTAAACATGCTGAAGATTAAGTCTGCAAATAAATGGAGACCGGAAGGAGCCCAGGTAAAGATATCCATTGTGCTCGTGTGCCTCGCTAACATAAGCTACCATCACTCCATTGGGATCATGAAAGCTTCTTCTGTAGGATCCCGTCTCGCTAAGTTCAACCACAAGGCTATACTTGGGCACAAACTTCGTCACGGTTTCCTGACTCAGCAGCTAAAAGAAAAAGAGAAAAGAAAAGAAAAAAAAAAAGAAAATTAACAAAAAGATTTTGTTCTGCACAGTTAGATCTCAAGACACTTACACAAAAAAGATTTTGTGCTGCACAGTTAGATCTCAAGACACTTACACAGTCAAAGACCGTTCCACAATCTTTGTAAGAAGCAGCTAAAAACATAAGCACACATTTTGAATAAACGCTATTACATAGACTTAACACAATAAAAACAAAAAAATAAGGACCAGCAGAACAACATTAAGCTCCAACATGAAGCTGAAAGGATGTCCACACAGGAGACATCAGCTTGTTCTGTTGCAGTTGATGTCAAGCAGCAGACATCATGTTCTGCTCCCCAGGACATCAGTTTGTTAAGGCTCCAGGAGAGACAACAGGTTTTACAGGAAGAGTGAAGAGTTTGTTCAGCTGAAATGGCACTTCTGTCCAAAACACTGCTTGTTGATTTTTATTTTTTTTTTTTTGAGAAGTATTTTTAAGCCTTTGTATCATTTAAAAGGCACCATGCTGTTTCTTTAGCATCAAATATCCTTTACAAAAGACGTTACTCTTGCTCACCCTCATCCTACAGGGGGGGTGTGACATAACACCAGGCATAATGAGTCAGAACAAAGCATCCCCTCGCAGCACACATGACACACACACGCTGTCTCCTAGGATGCCTAGGGTAGTCACTAAAACAGGTCAGACTTCCCAAATGCTCTCTGGACACCTGGCAATAAGTAGTTTAGGCAAGGTGAAGCCTTCACATATCCAAATGGAGATCCTGTGTCTCCACACAGCTAGGGCAGAGATAGTCTCTCTCTCTTTCCTAATATCAAGCTCCAACATTAAGCTGAAAGGATGTCCACACAGGAGACATCAGCTTGTTCTGTTGCAGTTGATGTCAAGCAGCAGACATCATGTTCTGCTCCCCAGGACATCAGTTTGTTAAGGCTCCAGGAGAGACAACAGGTTTTACAGGAAGAGTGAAGAGTTTGTTCAGCTGAAATGGCACTTCTGTCCAAAACACTGCTTGTTGATTTTTATTTTTTTTTTTTTGAGAAGTATTTTTAAGCCTTTGTATCATTTAAAAGGCACCATGCTGTTTCTTTAGCATCAAATATCCTTTACAAAAGACGTTACTCTTGCTCACCCTCATCCTACAGGGGGGGTGTGACATAACACCAGGCATAATGAGTCAGAACAAAGCATCCCCTCGCAGCACACATGACACACACACGCTGTCTCCTAGGATGTGTGACATAACACCAGGCATAAAGAGTCAGAACAAAGCATCCCCTCACAGCATACATGACACACACACGCTGTCTCCTAGGATGCCTAGGGGTAGTCACTAAAACAGGTCAGACTTCCCAAATGCTCTCTGGACACCTGGCAATAAGTAGTTTAGGCAAGGTGAAGCCTTCACATATCCAAATGGAGATCCTGTGTCTCCACACAGCTAGGGCAGAGATAGTCTCTCTCTCTTTCCTAATATCAAGACAGAAGGCAACTTAAGAGATATGTACCTACTACTCAGAAGCAAATGTTCATTTTACTACCCATGAATATATAAGGGCTGCTCTATCTATGGACAACCACAACAGTTCTAACAGTTTTAGTGCCACCACGGCACTAAGAAATTTTTAAAATCTTCCTGTGAAGAGGAAGAAGCAGGACAAACAAATACTTATCATTTCCATTCCTGTACTAAAGGTGATTGTTAAAAAAAAAAATCTTTTTTTTTTTTTTTTTACCTTAAATATCATCTTTTTAATCCATGGCTTTTCAGACAAGAAATCCAACAAAGAAAATCCAGGATTGGGCCGGACAGCTGACATAGCTACCCAATATCCTCCAGAGCTGCTTAACCTGATATTATCTGGAAGACCAGGCATATTCTCAACAAACATATCTGCTCCACCTTTCATCAGCCCGGACACATAATACCTGAAAGTTATAGATAGTAGGATTAGGACATCTTAACCCAAACAGTCTAAGTAATAAACAAAAGGCCCAACAGGAATTCACTTAAAACTTGCCATGGATAACTAGGCATGAATATAGCATAGGGTTTCTTTTGTCATTCAACTTATTTAAAACAAACTCTAAACAGAGAGTAGTAATAATTTCAGCAAAGTCACACTCACCTCCTGATTCTAGCCATGGTTGTCTCCTGCACCAGGACAAAGTCTTCTGCAGGAGAGAGCTGGACACCATTAGGAAACCTCAGCCCCACCATTAAGACTTTCACTTCTTTTGTTACTGTGTCATATTCAAGCAGGCTAAAAAGAAAGCATTATATACGGGTGTGAGTGAAGACAAATACTTGGTTGGCTTGGTTTTGTTCTCCAGGCACTCTGTCTTCTCTCACATGCAAGTTAAAAAGGCAGAATAGTCTGGAAGCATTTGTTTATGAACACAGGAGAAATACTAAGCCACCTGAGACCGGCAGCGTCCATGAAGGATTTAGGCTGAACGTAATGCTAACACCTTCTCTTTTAAAAGAGATGTTCCACGCAAGACCTCTTGAAGGAAAAGAGGAATCTCCTTTATTTCACTACAGGTCTCATTAGGAACATCCACACATTCTCTCACCCTCTCCTCTGCAGTGCAGTATTTGCACAGGTGGTTTTATAAAGAGAAATAATTTAAAGGCCGAGGAAGTGGTGAAGTCCATTCCTACAGCTGAGCTTACAATAAGTGAAATGCTTTGGGGAAGAGATACTCACCGCCCATCATCTGTGCCTTCCATAACCAAGAATAAGTAGTCCCTTCTTTGCCATTTGCTACTGGAGTCAGTGAAGTAGATTTTCCTCCCATCACGGGTCACTGTAAGATCATTCACAAATGACAACTTTTGACCTTCAATTAGGGTTTTGGTTGACACAAGCATTTTTGTTTCACCTGGTTACAAAAATGAGAAGAAAAAAAAAAAAAAAAAGGTTTTGTATATTTCGCCATGGAAGTAAGTTAAATACTAACAAGAAATTAGCAAGCACTTCACATTTTTTTCCATTCATGCCTTTGTTAATTAATAAAGTTTTGGGTTTTAACAGAACAACTCAACATTGAAGGTGAATAACCAGAACAAAAAAAACTTCAGAAAAAAAACTGAAACAGTAGATGATGTTCCCTATTGGCAAGTGCCAGAATTTTCATGTTTCTGAAGCTTATATGCAACCAAAAGTGCAAAATCAAGTCCCAGCCTTGTAGAAGGATGCAGACAAGCCAAGCACTGCTCCTTAGTTCCCCATAAATCTGCAGGAACAAAGAGTAATACTTCCTAAATATTAAAACATCAGCAGGTTCACCAAACGACTCTGCCCCAGTCAGCCCTGCCATCCATTACCAGGCAAATTATTAAGATCACAACTCTAAAAATTAATGGAATTCCACTAAAGTCATCTATCTGTAGGCACAGGGTTTGGGTTGGTTTGTTTGCTTGTATTTGTCATGACTGAGCTATATAGCAGCTGCCTGCTGTCACAAGAGGAGACCTTTATCATACCCTCCCTGAGCCCTTCGGTTACATCTCACCTAGCATTTGGCAAGCCTCCCTCTCCCCACCTGAAGCCAATTTGGAGATGTAAACTGTCAGAAAAAATCAACCCTACATGAAAGCAACTATCCCTTTCCAACAGTGCAGCTCCTAAAACTTGACATCTGGCTCAGGGACATACAACAAAAGGCAGGATGCCTTTCTCAGCAGGAACAAGCCACTTCATCTTCAGCTGCGCCAAAATACATCCTTTGTCACCTTCTATGGACTGGGGTTACAGGGGAGCTAAGAGCTCTTCACTACCACAACAGCAAGATCAAGCTAGAAAGAAAAGTACAGCAAACATGAGAAAAAACTTTATGTAACAGCAATATTTTCTTTTCCTTTGTGAAAACTGACAGGGCTGTGCAGAGCTTTACTCATGGGTCTTGAGGTACCCGTTTTGACAATGTCTGCAGCATCTGGCAAAACTGCAAATGAAGCCCAGATTTGTCAGTGGAAGAGAAATTCCGAGCAGAAAAGTCATACCTGTACCAGGATTAACTTCATAGAGTCCATAATAAGCATCTGCCACAAAAAGAGTGTTATTTGGCCCCACTCTGATGCCCAGTGGCCTTCCACATGTCGGTTCATCTTCACGGGTCCCTTAGGAAACAATTTTAAAGTGGTTTTCAAAATAGAAATAAATACAAGGCAATCAAGATACCTACACGGGTCAAACTTCAACAAAACTCTAAGGCCAGCACCACACACATTCATTAAAGAAATGATTCTTACTTTCCTAAGTGTGAGTGAAACAAGTATCCCCATGTTTTCACCAGTCTAGAGATAATCCTATAATTTGCCAGGCTGGTAGCCTAGCAAACAGCTGGCCTGAGTAGGGCTGAATGTTGGAAAATTGGATTTAAATAAATGCTTCTTCTCAGAAAGAATCAGTTTTACTGCAGATTTCTTTTTCTTTTTTAAATTTAATAAAAAAAGAAAAATAATACCACAACCCCACCACCGAACTTTCTTTTTCTGCAAGGGTCTAACACTGTCATGGAACAGCCAGTTTCTCAATACAGAGACACTAAAGACTTCTATATGAGGAAGAAAGGGATTATTGCAAACCTGAAAAAAATTGTGTTTGAGTCCTGAAGAACTAAGAACTTCAGAACATCTGTAGTTTGAAAGATTAGCAAGAGAAACTTCTGGAGAGGGCAGTCAGCTACTGCTTCCAATTCATTCCAGAGCCCAACCTTGTGAACATCCACTTAAAGTTTCAGAGCTAAAATGCTGAATGTGTCAATGCACGCTACATAAAGACATCAACAGTTCCTGCCCATAATTTCTGTCTAACTGGCAACCAGCCCAGGCCTGCAGAAGAACCTCGTGTAAGCTTCTACATCCTTACTGTAAACAAAACAAGGCAAGCTTCTCAGATTGCCCAGGCAGTACTGAGATGGACAATGTTCTTCACAGAGATGGCCAAGCTTCTCCATAGAAATGGTACTGGTAATAAACAAGCCACTACCAGTTTTCCCCAGTTCCAAAAAAATCTCATCAAATGAAGCAAGTAAGCAGTTCAGAAAGAGGAGGGAAATTCAACAAGAAATAGCTGCAGTTCACTGGTGAGAAAACAGAAATATCATGACCAGTGGAAGATCTCTGCTCAAGCAGGTGCAGCCACCACAACCCCCTACTGTACTTACAAACAGAAGAAGGGGAATTTGCACAAGAAAACACAAGGCAGAATTCTGTAGATGGTGAAGGTGATTTTTATTTGCAAAAATCTTTCCCACTCACACATTATCTCCGAGTTTATTCACTCACACTTGTTTAGGAGTCCTCAGTTTTTATGGGGTGGCCCTTCACCTCAGAATCTTGCTGACTTCACCTTCCATAAATATTAGGCCAGGTTGCTGCCCATTTTTTTTCTTATTTAGGATAGGTGCTTTTTCTAGATGGACTAACAGGAAAAGGAATGTTATTTGTGACATTCAACCTTCTCTTCCTCCCAGCATTAAGATGCCAGATCTTCTACTGACAAGTCATCGTGCCACAGCCTTACAAGAGCACAGGCCTTGTCGTCATGACATAACACACCCACATTCCCAAATTTAAATGCTGGGAACAGTGTCCTTCGTTATCAAGGGCACCCATTCCGATTCTTTTGGCCTTTTGTTCTGCTGCTCCTTCCAGTGCTTACATACGTATTTCCACTCATATTTCATTCATACAAATATTAATATTTCCGTTACAAATTCTCTACAGAGAAAGATATGCACTTGCACGAGCAATCCAGACAGAACACCAGTTTCAATCAACTTAAGCCCTGACCCAGACGTTTTCAGGCACACTATGTTCACAAGCTGTCACTCACCACAAGGCCCATGGCCAATTCTGGCTATTGTTTGTATTTCCCCATCTTCAATTTTGATAATCTTCCCATCAGCTGTCCCAGTAAATAGCACATCTGCAAAAACAACTGGTGTGATTACCTTCGGCACAAAACTGTATCGGTTAACATACTTCTACATGATCCTTCTACTAGCACGAAGTAGAATTCATTTTTAAGATATAATAAAGTAACAGAGTCTTCTTCAGTCATAGCAAAGGAATAAAGAGGGAAGGGGAAAGAGGAAGGTAAATAAGAGTATTTAGTTAGATTTCATTCAACTCAAAAGGAAGAAGAAGGATTTAAGCCTTAAGAGTTGTAAGTACAGGATATGAAGCTTTTCACCTACAAGTGGTCCAAATTTCTGCTTAAAGGTAAATGTATCAGCTTAATGGCTAATCACTGGATTGATCCCTCTGGGCAAATTTCTACATCATCATAAAATGTGATCAGGCACTGCATCCACCTTACCACTCTTCAAAGACAGACTGACTAGCTAAAACTTCTCATTCTGATACAGTTCACATAGGCTGCTGGGACACATGCCAATGCTCATATAGTATCAGCTCTGGAGAAGAATTACAAAAAAAACATAGCAATCGAACAATCACCCAAACCAAAAGTCCTGCCAAATCACTGTATTCATGCCAAGCCATGTGATGCCATAAGACAGATTCACTGAATACAAACAATACACAAACTTTGCCATATAAACAAATTAAAGACTGTTGAATTAGTAGAGCCCATTGCTTGGACTTTTCCATCTCCAATTTAACTGAAGTTTTAAGCTGGCTAATAACAGCTTTAAAAGGGAATAATACGACTTGAACATTTATTCATACAAAACTTATTCCCAGTCAGGTTGATTATTTCACCCATAGGTCAGTTCCTTAAGAGTTTCCAAAGAAACTGACAAAACGAGGTAACAGAGATAGCTAGAAAAAGCATAATCTGAGGAAGGGATTTACAGCACTTTCTTGCTAAGTAACTTAATTTAAAAATACATATTTTACTAATTTATTAGAAGATACAGCAGAAGGAAAATAAATTATGTGGCTACTGAGCTTCTCTTGTACTGAAGGATGTTTCAGTAAGGGCCTTGCTTGCAACTCAGCCTTTTCATATTAAAAACAGTCAAGAATTCACATCAAGAGTAGTTTCTAGCCTTAGCCCCTTCAGGAGGCACAGGAAACAACCCCTGCACAAAGCTGGTTTCCTACTAAACTGGTATCATGCCATTACAAGTCTGAGTAAGAAACTGCTTAGAGGCAACATGGGTTTGTGATTTGGTGAGAACACACGTTCCGTAAGAGAGAAGTACAGGATGGCACCTGTAATGTATGCAACAGCACTAAAAATGTAAATACTTTATTTATCAATTTGAGATATTATTTTTTTTTACTGTCACATAAGCAAAAATTAACACCACAAAACTCAGCTCCCTCAGAGGCGATGAGAATTAAAAGAGTAGTATCCTGTAAATATTAATTCCCAGTTAAGAACTAGCCAAATGAAAAATGGGACCGCTTCCTCCAAGCAAAAGTAGCCCCTGACTCCATTGCTGATGCTTTCAGTCCTGGAAGACAGGGATTTTTAATCTGACAACAAGATTTATTTTATACTGGGCAAAGTGGAGAAGAGCACTATGTCGCAGCCAGGTTTTGCTGCACGACAGTTATTTTTTAAAAGAAAAAAAATCTGCAAATTCAGAAGAGCTTCCAGAGTTTATTACCCAAGAGCTATATTGCTGCACAAACCCTTATCAACGCAGCAACATTTAAAGACCCTTCTTTTAAAAGTTTAATTAGTCAGTGCTTACCCCCAATATTCACAATGGACTCTGGTCCAACCAGCTGATTCTCCCATAACCGCTCAGCTTTTCGTAACTCGGTGTTGGGCTCCAGCACACCCGTCAGGAGGGGAGGTTCCTTCAAACTGGGAAACAGAACACAGACCTCATGATCCTTTGCACAAATCTGCAAACACTCTTGAGCAACACAATGGATCTTTTTTTTCCCCCCCCTTAGTTTGCCAGCTCCTGCAACCTTGTTCTGTGCTTTACTTACAGCATAGCTCAAAAAAGAAAACACAGCTGACGAGCTGAAAGATTGAGTCTTGTTCAACAGGAATCATAACTTTCTGGTTCTGTTGATCAGAAAAGTTGCAGTTACGTGTTCCTAAGACATTATCTGGAAATCTGTACAGCTTCAAGTCCAACAATACATTCCCAGATCATCTACTTTACACAAGGGTAAAGGATTTCAGTATTGCCACAACACAAATAATAATTGCTTTCTTACTCACCCGAATTAGTTGTTTGTACGAGAATATTTTTACTATGCAGATTCCTAAACAAAAAGGTTTTAAATTTTAAAAGCCTGGCATTTCACAATACAACAAGATATGATACCACATAGCATTTTCATCATGAAGAAAAAATATTTTTTAATTACTAATTAGCATACAACTAGTGACAGAAGTGTCCCAGTAGTTTAAGCACTAGGACACACATGCTTTTGTACCATATTGAAACATATATTCTAGTTCATGACTTGAATGCATTCCCAGAGAGACAGACTAACTCAAAGGATTAAGTTGTGCATAAACTTAAAAGAGTATTGAACCGAAATCTCAAAACGACAAAATAAGGCCCAATCTTGAAAGTTCTTATTCACATAAACAGCCAGGTCCAAGCCAACTGCTTTTCCAATCAACTACAGAGATAGGGAGAAGGGAAGGAGGAAGATGCCTACACAGCTTTATCTTAAATACCACGCTCCAAAGCGCTGTGCTTAAAATCCAGCCTTAACTGCTGACAAACTCAAATCTGTTTCAGTCTCTTAGGTTCTTAACAAAACCACACATAAGCCACCTCAGTCTCCACAAATTAAGGATTTCAAGTTATTACTAAAGCTGCACACATGCCCAGGGTGGTAAGCTCATTAGGTGTTCATTCTCAAGACAATGCTAAAGCTCCCTAATGCCTTCCACCTGTAAAATTTTAGAAAGATGAGGTTTAACTCCCAAAACTTGCCCAGATTCACAAGGTCCAAGACCTATGTGTCACCAACAACATCGCAACTCACTGCCCGTATGGTGAAAATCATTAACAATTTCTAGAGCTTCAATGACCGGGGGGAAAAAAAAATGAACGGGAATTACAAACTATAAAAGTCACAACAATTGAGGAAAATGGGTTCACGACACAAATCATTCAGAAGGAGAGGAAAACACACCCTTCTATCCATCTGGTTACAGACAGTAAACTTTAAGTACGTAATACTGCAGTTGCAAAGCCAACTGAATTACTAGCTCCTGTCCACAGAAGATTTGCAGCAGAGTTATTTACACAAGGCTAACACAAATCCATCTTCCACCTTCTTCCAAGCATTGGGATATAAGATGAGGATAAAAGGCTTCAGATATGGAACCCATTTGCTGGTAACCTTGGACAGTTGTGTTTGTAAGCAGAAAATCCTCCCTGGGATCAACATTACCCAAGACAGGCTTATAGAGAAAGAACTTGAAATAAACCACAGTTGCAGGAGTTTCACAGATCACATCTGCTTTTTTCTCCTCCCTCTTATCCCTTATTATATCTAGTGGCCTATTATATCTATATCTATTAGCAAACAAGATTTCTACATGTTCTTTCACTGAAGGGATCGATTCAGATACCATCTACCTCCTTGAGCTTTTTCAAAACATTTCACAAACATCACACAGAATCATCCTACCTACTGTACAGACTGGAACCACTTCTGGCAGAGCTAAGCAGCTAATTAAGAACGTACAGCAGTATAAAGCAGTGATTTGGGCAGGAAGCATAGTACTTCTGGTCTTGTAAGAAAGACTTAAAGTAAGAAATGTAAGCAGTCAGAATACTGTTACCCTGAACCAGAACTAGACCAGGACTATACAGAAGAAAAAGCACTGCAGATACATCATATTGGCTTTCAAAATTACTATTCAGCTGCAGTGTGTTCCAAGGAATTTGGTTTTGTTAAACCCAACCACAGTAGAAGGCATTTCATTATGATTTGCAATGAGGCAGCTTATGTCTAACAGGCAAGACCTGTAAGTACCATCCTACCACATTAACAATTTCTTTCAACTCTAGAGATATTTACGGTGTTGTTGTTCCTCTTTATTAAGGAATTACCGAGTTGATCATAAATTTAGCAGACTGAGCATTTTCACTTACGTCAAAATGCCAGGAGCACTAAACAGCCTGACTCCAACCTATGCCAGCAGTCAAAGTGTTTCAGACACAACTTCTCCCAACACAGGTCACATCTCGCATAGTTGATTCACTGTTACACTCCCCGTTTGATACAGACCTCGATTCAGATGTTTATGAATTCAGGCAGGGCAGAAATCACCTATGGCACTGCTTTATGAGATCTGCATTTAAAATATAACATCACCAGCCGGTTCACCGCTGGTACAAAGCAGCAAATCAACCCAGTCAGGTTATCCATTTCAATTTTCATCCTCAGATAAACAGTCCCTATTTGACAGAGCTACACGAGCAGAGGTAGAATCATAGAATCATAGAATCATAGAATTTCCCAGGCCGGAAGGGACCTCCAAGGGTCATCTAGTCCGACCCCCCCGCAGTCAGCAGGGACACCCCCAACTAGACCAGGTTGCCCAGGGCCTCGTCGAGCCTCACCTTGAATATCTCCAGGGATGGGGCCTCAACCACCTCCCTGGGCAACCTGTTCCAGTGCTCCACCACCCTCACAGTAAAGAACCCCCTTCTAATCTCCAATCTAAATCTG